TGATCCTAATGAGCAAGCTAAGAAGAAATCCGACGAGAAAAAGGATTCTTCACGTCCAGTAAGTAGTACTCCTGTACCCGGAACTCCTTGGTGTGTAGTATGGACTGGTGATGGAAAAGTCTTCTTCTATAACCCATCAACCAAAACATCTGTTTGGGATCGCCCACCCGATTTGTATAACCGTCCTGACATCGATTTATTGGTGACTCGTCCTCCTGATAATAAGAAAGGTACACAACCATCTCAATCATAACATGAACATTGTTTTGTAGAAGAGATCAAAGAAGCTGAGTCTGATTCTGAGAGTGAAACGGAAAATGGAGGTCCTCCTAAGAAGAAGAGCAGAGCTGAAAAGAAGAAAGAAGCTATGCTCGCTCAGTCTAAGAAGGAAAAGGAAAAACCCGTTCGTCAAATGTTGGAGAAACCAATTGATCCTGCAGTTCAAGCTGAATTACAGGCTCAAAGAGAGAGAGAGAAGGTTTTTTCGTACTTCAGTAACAGACATTTTTATTTTGATTCTTGTTCAGATGCCTTTGGAAGACAGATTGAGACAATTCAAGGAAATGTTAGCTGAGAAAGGCGTTCAGACAGGAAGTACTTTCGAGAAAGAGCTTTCCAAGATTGTCTTCGATCCTCGTTATCTTTTACTCAGTGCCACTGAACGCAGAGCCGTAAGAAAGGATGATTGGAATTTACTTATCAATTTTTTCAGTCTTTCGAAGCATACGTCAGGGAGAAGGCTGATGTAGAGCGCGCAGAGAAAAAGAAGAAGCAGAAGGAGGCCAAAGATAAATTTACTGAACTCTTGAAGGAAGCTGAGTTACATGGAAAGTAAGGGAACATACGATTGAACTGTTTTTCTAACTAAGTGTTCAGGTCTTCCTTCTCATCATTCACATCAAAGTTCGGTAAGGATCCTCGCTATAAATGTGTAGACAAGATGAGAGACAAAGAAGATCTATTCAATGATTTCGTAGGAGATCTCCACAAGAAGGAGAAGGAAGAGAAGCGGGAGAAACGTGAGAAGGTAACGAATTGATCTATCCGAATCGAGTTAATTGATTAATTGTAGGCCAAAAAAGAATTTGTTACTCTTCTCGAGGAACAAACCGTAACGCTTAGCTTGACCAGAAAGACTAAATGGTCTAACGTCAAGAAATCATTAGAAGAAGATCCCCGTTATAAGGTATATCATCGCAACATGATTCGATTCAAATACGTTCTCTCTAGGGTGTTGATAGTTCTTCTACCCGCGAACAATTGTTCAAGGATTATGTAGATAAGCTGGGAGATGAAAGCCTTTCCGTAAGTTAACCTTATATTCTTCTGTTTTCAATAGACTAACTTGTTCTCTCGAAAAAAAAAACGTAGTTTTGGTTTTTTCGAATGCAACCAGTCTATGCGTCGTTAATAGAGTAAATGATAATTGCACGTGAAACCACGTGAACTCACGTAAACGCGTTTGCGTGGGAGGTGTTCATTTATCATGGCGCGCTACCAGATATCGGCTGTATATCAAGATTTAAATCTCACTCACTCATCTAAATGGTGTTTGCAGGATATTGAAGAGGAGCAAGCCAGAGAGAAGAGATTAGCAGCAGAACAAGCCATAGCTGCCCGTCAAAAAGAAGTAGAAGCCACATTGGGTGATCAATTACGTGAACGTGACAAGGAGAGTGAGCGTCATCGTATGTTAGAACATGAAGAAAGATTTAGAGCTTTAATGATTGATCTGGTGAGTTTTTATAATGCTAAACAGCATTATAAGCAAATGTTAAGGTGAAACAAGCCGATTCGTCGTGGCATGAAGCACGCCGGATATTGAGAAAGGATGAACGCTATTCTAATTGCGATTTATTGGATAAAGATAAGAAAGAGAAACTTTTCAACGAACATTCAAGGTATAGAAGATGATATCCGTTCTTAATAATCACACGCCTACAGAGGGTTGGAGAAAAAGCGAAGATTGGCTTTCTATGCAGTTCTTGATGATCATCCTAAGATTAATACACAAATGAGGTGGAAAGATGCTAGACGTATAATTCAAGATGAGGAAGAAACATTTAGCAAAGTTATAAGTAGCAGTGAAAGGGTTTGTTTACTGTTCTATCTTTGTTTTTGCTCATTTTCAAATCCTATTGAAGAAGGTCGAAAGAGATTTCCGAGAATGGCAAGACGAACGACGGGAAAGAATCGTAAAAGAATTCAAAGAATTGTTGCGGGAAACAAAGATCATCACGTATAAGAGCAAACGCTTGATGGAAGAAAACGAGCAGCATTTGAAAGATATATATGCTATTTTGGAGGTAAGGTTAACTGCTCAGATGATCCGTAATACCTTTCTTTATAGAATGATAAACGATGGGTGCGTATGACAGAACACAGTGCAACTGAGAGAGACAAGGTCCTAGACGACTACATTGATCAACTGCACCAAAAGGGTACACCCCCACCTCCCACACAACAGGAACGAGAGAAGAGAAGAAAAGATTAAATTTTTAAAAGTTCGAAATATCACGCAAGTTCATCTCCTTATCGATAATCGATTTTTGAATGTTTTTTTTTGTTTTTTACGGTTGCGCGGTAGGAAGTGTCAGGCTTTGTTGAATGTTTTGCCTTTTCTCATTCCCTCACCGCTTTTAAAAATGACTTTCCATCAAACTTTGTCTTTGCTTGTCTAAATTTAAATTCCGTTTTCCTTACTTGAGATCCTTTAGTGTTCTGTGTTTCAAAACTTAATTGCCCATGAGTTTAATATTTATTTTTGTAGTCTATTCTTATTATAACTTTAGGCGAATTGTATTTACATAACCGAACACTTTTCCTTTTTTGATGCTTTCGGCTCATCTCCCCAACCTTCTCTGGATGGAAGCCTTATTCGTTCAACTGGAGATTTCTTGGTAGTGTTCCAATTTTCATCTTTGCTTCTGCATATTTTCGAATGATGAGTTGATAAATACAATGTCTTTATCTTACCTCGTTAGTTTTTCCAAAACGTATGCGAATGGATGCATTATATTAAAATCTTTGGCGGCTGATGAACGATACAGCCTTAGATGTAGTTCTCCTAGGAATGCTTCCACTTGTCTCTTTTCTATTTCAGTGTGATCTAACAAATCAATTTTGTTTTCAATTACAACAATTGGAATGTAATCTTCCGTTCGAATGGATTTTATAAGGTCAATGCAGTATTCGAAGGTCTGACAAAAGGGAAAAATGTTTAAACACAGTTTTTTAGCGCAACTTACGTCGAAGCTATCAGTAGAATAGATGACCACCACTCCATCAAACTTAGTGAAATAGCTGCTTTCCCACTGAACAAAAAACAGATTGCAAAGGTATGAATGACTTGTAAAGTTTGCCGAAGGCTATTCATACCTTCTCACTTTCTTGTACAGAAATTCTTATCTTTTCGTCATCCAAGTGAAGGACTGTATTGCCTTTGCCATCTTCATCGTAATTCGTACAGAAGCATTCGATTATCGAAGATTTTCCAACCTGAAAGCTTCTTGAGTGATTTCATGTACGAATGTAAACGACTCACCCCTTGGGCTCCGAGCACCACTAGTCGGAATTCTTTATCGAACGATGCCATCTGAAGATGAAAGTGTTTAAATCTGATTAAACTTTGGAAAAACATGAGAGTTGAGCGAAATCGGTGTTTATGAGAGGAATTTACTAGTATTCAACCGGATCATATGGGGGGTAAGGGTAGCTGGCAGCTGGGACTCGGCCATCGATAGATAATTGGCCATAATTGTCGTGATGGATATATAACGAAAACGAAAAATATACATACGAGAGGTCATGAAGCAGAGATTTTCTAATTTCTTGTGATAGTAACTGAAGTAGTAGTAGTAGTAGTAGTGTAAGTGAGTCCAAAAAGGATATTTGAAAGGACAAGGAGAGAAACAGAAGGAGAGAGAGTGGGTATTGTAGGAAAAACAAAAGGCGAAGATAACGATAACAAGATTTAGACGGATAAACTGAATGCATGGAGAGTCGTCTTGGCTAACAAATCATGATTTATGAGTACTGAATGGGACAGCCCGCCCCCAACGAGAAAGGTGTGCAAGTTTAACAGAGAAGAGTAGGGGAGGCGAGCCTTATAAGGGAGTAATGTGAAAGGAAAAATACGAAGCCGACCGTTAGCACGTAAAATGAAGAAATAACCGAAGACTTTTACTGCAATCAAACCTCCTTAATCCTCTGGACTCGTCGCACCAAGTCTAGAATAAACAAGCAAACAAACGAAGACTGTGGTGGAGATGAGAGATTGTTGCTCTAATTACAAAACGAAAAAATGAAGACGAAAAAAATTTCCGGAAAATACGGATTTTCCGGTTTTCCTATTTGGTATCAAGTGATGACCGGTCGAGAGGCGCATCAGCGCTATGACGTTATGAGTTCGGAATTCGAGAAGCAATTTATATTCGGAGGAAAGAGAACGCAGACAGCAATTAGTAATGTATAAGCGACCTGCTGTAAGAGACCAAAAATGGCAAAAACCTGGCTGATTTGATTGTTTTCGATGGTCCCTAAGTATGCTGGTTCATTTAAATGGGGGAGGGAACAGAGAGAGTCTGATGTGTGAAGTAATTTGTGTTCAAAAATGGCTGGAGAATAATGAGCGGAACTTCCCGTTTTCCCTCCTCACTAATCATCGTGTACATGTGTCAACATGATAAAAACAGGTTGAATGACGGAAAAGTTCCATTGTTAATGTTTGATTTGAAACATTCGCCTTTTGAGGAAAATGTTGTCAAGTGTTGTTTTGTTGTTTACGAATTGACATCTTCATTCAATTGTTCGCAACAAAGATCATTTTAGAGGTAGGATCTCTTCAAATATAGTATTTCAACTGAATTTGACAGAAGATAGAAACGAAAATGGAGCAGGAGAACTCCAAATGGACCAATTGTGGGAGGACGAATTTGAATTACAAATACAAAGGATAGATTAAAGATTTCAAAAAAAAGAGGTTCAAACTACTTTTTACGGGAAAAAAAACGGGGAAGGTTACGGGTTCGCGGTCGCAGGAATAACATGCCCCATTCGTACTATATAAAAAGCTTTGAGAGGGGTGCATAGGAGGCCAAAGAATGGAAGAGTGCAACACATTCTCGAATGAAAGCCTTAGTTACCTAGGGCGGTCTTATTCGACATCTTGGCTCTCCACCCCTAATTGTAGGCAGGTGACCATTCGTATAGTGGCCACAGCTCCCTATTTGACATGAGTCGCTAATGGAGCGTTTACGTTTTTGGACATAGCTCAAGAAAATATCTCGAACTTTATAATATATAGGTTTGTGTTTCGTTTAACAGGATTGCTCAGGAAATCTGCTAGCTTGGTCAAAAGGTGAACACCTTACTCGACAGGAAGGACAAATTGATTTCCAGTTAAACACGGTCTGTGTTATTCCGGATATCCGGCTGATTAGGCAGGAAGGCAGCAAAATGTGTGAAAGAAAAAGACGAAGAAGAAGAAGACGGAACCCGGAAAAATTTATTAAACTATCATACACGTTTTCTGAGGGCAAATGGAAGACAAAAATGAACTGAAAGAAATGATGATTTCACATACATGCATGGAGTACAAAGGTTGGTAAGATTAGTGGAATCCTATTGTTTGCTTGAGCTTAACAGATATAAATGTATAATGTACAAATTTAAAGCATTCATAGTGACTAGGTCGAAGAAAAACAGAACAGCATCCTTTTCTAAGAACTCTTCTTCCATTCGGACGGAACGGCACCCACATCAACATACAAATGATAGTACAATGGCTTCATGGTAACCTATAGTAATCAATCTTAGAGGATGACTCCAGCACACGATTACCTTTCGAACGGACCATTGGCCTGTCTGATTCAGCCCATCAGTAGAAACTCTCTGCTCAGCGATATCCAATAAATGATAACTGAGAATCAATTGGTTAACCTCTTGACCAGGTAGGTATAGGAACTTACATGAGTTTAGGAGCAGTTCGTTTTCTTTTCACGTGTTTCAACATGGAGTACTTGCCTGTTTCGGGATCCGGCCGTTCTATTGTATAGTTCAACGATAAAATCCTCTTTCCTGAAAGAGAATAGATAATTGAAGATCCGTTAGGCAAGTTCACGAACCCATGTCATCATCTTCTCCTCCCCAAGCCCAATACATATTGGAATAGCCATTGATATTACGATAATCTTTGACAGAAACAGCTAGAACTCCACCCACAATTTCTTTATACCAAAGTCTGAAGTTCGCATGATAAGAGGATTGAGTAGCATGTCTTACTGATATCCTAGATTGTTAACGAACGCCCCAAGATGTCGAGGCTGATCCGGGCAAGAGTAAGGGTTCCTATCGTCCTTAAAATCTTATGTTTAGTGGATGACAAGAAAGACGATGCATACCTGAGGAAACATATCTACGTCATGGAAAATAACACAGTCAACATTCAGTTTTTCGGCAAAAACAAAGGCAGCGTTCATTATTTTACCCTTATTGAACAGGTCATTTCCGTACTAATAAGGAAGTAAAGTTGTATCAACTACGAAATCTGATTGTACCTGTTCTGTAACAATGAAACGGAAGTCCAAGCGTTGTCTCTGTAGAATGGGAATAAGGAATGCCAACAGTCTTGTCAAATGAGACTGGCGGTCCCGGAATGGAATAATTATAGCAACTTTGTACCTAGCCTTAAACCAATATGCTTGCTGGCTGAATGGTAAAACTGAAACTCACTCTACAGTCTTGTGGAGACCATGACCCTCCCGATGCTAACTCTGGATGAACAGCAGATACTTCTCCCTCCTTTAGATTTTGAATAAGTAGAACAGCTTGTGGAAGAGAGCCCTGAACTCATTGTCATTGAATTTATGATAACGACTCACCTTGAGATCGGTGATATCGGACACTTCAGGACATAAACCATCCGGTGCGACAGTCAACTTACTGAAAAAATTTCTTATCAATCGTATGTTACATCGTAAATTATTCTAACAAAGCAAATAGCTGATAAGGTTTGTAAAAAAAATGTTTGACCACACGTGGTTTTACGTGAAAGTACACGTAACGTAACGTGAAATCTCACGTAAAGCTACGTGAAACATCAACATCTGTTTCATTTACACTTGTGTTTTGACACAGACCGGTTGCATTCTTTGTGAAATCAACAAGCAACAGCACAGAACAAATATAAAACAAAAAACAGAGAGTAAAGAGAGACGTACGTCGGTTTCATAGTTTCCTTAAGTGTTGTTTCGTCCATGTTGAGGAAAGTCAGCGTTTGTCTTTCATTCTCCAATTCTGCTTCTTCCCTAACAGTTACAGGACTTAAAAGCAATAATGAGTCATTGATAAATAATAAGGAAACCTCTCTTCTACAGCAGCTGGTCGCTGTGAATATGTTTTGCTTGGCAATACATTGGATAAATGAAAGGTTCTAAAAAAACAAATAGAAGTGATGAATCAATTAATCAAACTCACTCAGTGGAACTCTTGAGAAGAGTTATATAAATCACACTTAATGTCAGAATAACTATGAGAAACTTTTTGGAAGTGCATCCACGACTTAGAAAAGGTGAGCACAGCATTTATGAACAACACTATTTCTATACGCTCATATGTTGAGGGGACTGAAAAAGATATAATAATGAAGAATTAAGGAAATATAAAGTAGGATTTTCTTGTTTAAACCGGTTCATATTGTGGGAAGCTTCAATGTAACCTGCTTCCAACACACGCTCCAACGTCAAAATTAAAGGTCTGTATGCATTAACAGGTCCTGTAACTTTCCCATTTTTTTTCTTTTTTACTGTGCGATAACCTTTCAATTACTTGGTTTTTCTTGGAATGTATGTAATATGTTTATAATTCAACTTCAGAGAAGCTGAAATGCGACAACTTGTGAAGCATTTGAAAGTAAAAAGAAGTATTGAAGCAGTTTTCACTGGTGGGCCTATTGTCTGGAGTCCAGATGGCAAAACAATATTCTCTATCTGTACTAATGTAGTGAAAGCTTTAAACTTGGATAATAACCTAGAGTCGTACGTTTCATTAAAATCAAATGATCATTCATAATTCAAACTTGAAGGTATACAATTGGTGATCCCGAAGATGTAGTTAGAATCACATGCATTTGCCTTGATGATGATCGCCAGCGATTGGTTGTAGCTTATAATAATTTCATGGTATTTGGATATTTCTAGTCTTCGTAATGAAATTGGTTTAAGGTTAGAGAGTATACTCTACCACAATCTCCTGGCGACAAACCAGAAGTGGCTAGAATGTGGAAAAGTAACCATGAAGCTATAATTACTCGCATGAGGTTCAACTCTGATTATACTTTGCTAGCTACTGGCTCTGCAGATTATAATGTTAAAGTGAGCTGCAGAATTTGAAGCTTTTCCCAATTCTAATTAATTTCAGGTTTTCGATATGAACAACCAACATTGTACTCATAACTTCAAAGGAAAAAGTGTGGTCACCTCTATATGTTTTACCAAAAACGATAGAATGTTTGTGGGGTACATGGATGGAGTTGTAAGTGAATTTGAAATTACTTTGAGTGGTATTCAACTCTCCAGGTTAACATGTTTGATTTGATCAAAGGAGCCTTAGAAAAACTCATTCATAGTTGGACGAACCATAACAGGTTTGTTGACTCAAGCCTTCTTTCGATAATTCTTGGTGTTTTAGTCAAATCACGGAGATTGTTGAATTAAAAGATCGTCGTGTTGTTGCTCTCTCTCGAGACCAGTCATATTCAATTCTCGAAATTGAAACTAGGGAAGTATTGAAGGTGATTACACTACAATTACGATGTTGAAAATATAATTTTGTAGATTTTACCAGTTTTCGAGCCCATCGAGGCCGCAGTTTTAGCTCATAATGGTAATTTAGTAACTGTAGGAGAAGAGGGAGTCATGAAAGAATGGATTGTGGGTACTGGTAAACTTATAAGACAGAAAAAAGTTTCAAAGTGAGTTTATACCTTTCTCTGAAAATGTAATTTCAAACTTTAGTGATCGTCTCATGGGTTTAATCTATAATCCATTGAAAAATGAGCTGCTCTCAACTTCTGAAAATGAAAATATTTTTGTTCTCACTTTTGCCGATTTGAAGCTGAAACGTCAAATTGTCGGATTCAGTGATGAAGTAAGTTTTGTATTTGTCTTGAACTTCCTTTTTTACTCTGGTTCTCTGAAATTTTATTTGTTTATATATTTTTTGGAGTATTTTGATGCAACCGCACTACGCGTCTAATTATTTGAAAATGATTGGTTCACGTACTTTCCACGTGAGATTCACGTCATTCTCACGTGAAGCTCACGTCAAGTTTACGTGAGGTTCTCGTCAATTTCATGTTATTTCAACGTTTTTTTCTGACTTGTGTTTCACATCATTATCCACGTGTCTTAACCATGTAAATTCTTATTTCAGATTTATACCTGTTGTTTAATTGGAAAAGATCAATCCCATCTCGTAGTCGGGTCAAATACTAAAGAATTGAGACTGTACAATACAACAACGTGGGATTGTCAACTAATATCAGGTGTGTTCTTTTCTAGTTTTTTTCTTTCTTGAAGTTACGCTTGAAGGCCATACGGAAAGTATCCTTAGTGTTAGTTGTGCTGATTGGGACAAAACTATCATCGCATCAGCTTCAAAGGACTCTTCAGTCATTTTATGGAAACTCACTGGTTTGTATTTTTCTGCAGTTCGTATTCTTAATGAATCTTGTATAGCTGGTTCGGAAGAAACCCCATCTACCTTGCAACCAATCTCTGTTGCAACTGGACATACAGGATCTGTTAACTCCGTTAAATTTTCTCATTCTGCTAAACAACCTTTCTTCTGCTCTGTGTCCGCTGACACAACTGTCAAGCTATGGTCACTAGGAAGTAACCCTCTGAAACCCACAACATTAGATAAGGCGTAAGTGTTAGCTATTCATTTCTGTTGTAATGTTCTCTTAAGGTCAAAACTTATCAGTTCGTCCACCTTCGTAGCTCATGCAAAGGATGTAACCTGCTTGGACATCTCTTTAACTGACTCTATTATAGTCACTGGAGGGTACTGGAGTTGTAAGCATACAAATCTGATTCATTTTTTCTAGTATGGATAAGCTTGCCAAGCTGTGGCAGATCGATGACAAGAAAATGCATCTTGGAATAGCTGGTAACCTGTCTGGGCATAGAAGAGGTCTTTGTGACGCCAAATTTGCTCCAAACGCGCAGGTTAGAAAGAGCTTTAGTGTGTTGTTTATCCATTTATTCAAGAGAGTTGCAACATGTGGTGGAGATTTGACCGTCAAGCTTTGGTGTCTGAATGAGCGCACTTGTCTTCAAACATTCAGTGGACACAACTCATCTGTCTTCAATGTAGTTTTAGAGATTCGTTTCAAAGACTGATTAATCTTCTTAGGTATTGTTTGTTAACCATGGCAGTCAATTGTTATCAGCCGACGGTGAGGGAATCATCAAAATTTGGACGATAGCAACTGGTGAAACTGAAAACTCGATTGAAGCTCATGCTGACAGAGTTTGTGGTCGTTTAAAGTTTTGAAGTTACCATAATCTTAAGGTATGGTGTATGTCAAGCAACGCAGATGAATCGGAATACATCACAGCCAGCTCTGATGGAAAGATTTCTATCTGGACGGATATTTCACAAGAAGTACAGCGTGAAGAAGAGAATAAGTTACGCCAAAAACTCCAAGAAGAACAAGTAAGTGTAGTTACTCTTGTCGAAGACGTTTATTGTTTCAGACTTTGAATAACCTGTTAGAGCAAGATCGTTACCAAGAAGCTTTAGAATTCGCACTTGGACTTGTACGTCCGTTCTGTGCCTACAAAGTCATTGACACCTTGATTGAAAGAGGAGAAATCCGAGAGGCCTTGGAGAAGCTGGATCAGCACAAGTCACAGGTCCTTCTTGACTTTACGACCCGATGGAACACGAATAGTAAGACTTCACAGGTATGAATAGCTATTTTCAAATGGGTTGACTCTGTTGAATGCAGTTGGGACAAACAGTCATCTATCATATGCTGCATATTCATCATCCCGATGAGCTGTTGAAGTTGCCTAATATCACCGCGGTTGTGCAATCTTTGATACCTTATACTAGGAGGTTAGTGTGTCTAATCATGAAGAGAATTAATCCTTTTATAGACATATGGAGAGAATAAACAAATCCAGACAGGATGTTACCTTGTTAGAGTTTACCTGGGACCAAATGAGATTGAATTAGATTTGCATTGTTAATTGTTTTTGTTGTGTATATAGATTGTTGTTCCTTCTGTTGTTGTTAATAATGTTTTAATGAGTTTACTGTATCGCTGACTGATCGTTCATTCGATTCCATATACCTACCATTCTTCCCACCTTTTGTCTTATAATTATCTTTCTAATAGATGGCAGACGAATTACCTATGGAAGCCATGGATGACATGCCAGAGCTCATCGATGTCGATTTGCCGGCAGAGCTCCCTTCTTTGATTGACCAAAACAAAGATGATGGCGTAGATGAAGATGGATTCAAGAAGGTTAGTATGAATCTTCGAGGCTGCAATATTCATTTGATTTAAGGTGACACGTAAGAGAAAACCAGCAACCAAAGATGTTGAAATGGAAGACCAAACAGAAGGTACCGAGGGAGCCGAAGGAGCAGAAGGAGCAGAAGGCACAAGTGATAAGGCTGATCGCCCAAGACATGCAAAGAGATCCAAAGGAGTTAGGGGTGAAATGAGAAGAGTATGGTTTAGACAAATCAAGCTCCGTTAATTTCTTCTCAAATAAGGTTCCTGTTCCAAAACATCGTTATGGTGCCTTGAAGAATGCCTGGAGAGAAATTTTAACTCCCATCGTTAAAAACTTGGGTTTACAAGTCAGGTATGTTGTATCTTGTATAGACCTACTTGATACTCCGTGTTCAGATTCAATCTGAGATCTAGAAATGTTGAGTTGAGGAATCCTGAAGATAGGGAAGATACCACTGATTTACAGAAGGTGAGTGATAAAACAATTTTTTTTCCTGAGTCTTACTCTTCAGGCAGCTGATTTCGTTAAAGCTGTCGTTCTCGGTTTCGACGTGAATGATGCCTTGGCTCTGATCCGACTTGATCACCTTTTCTTGGAGACTTTCGAAGTGAGTTTCAAGGAAGTAGTGGTCAGTTCAATCTGTCTCTTCAGATCGCTGATGTGAAGAGCTCATTGAAAGGAGATCATTTGAGCAGAGCCGTTGGACGTATCGCTGGTAAAGATGGAAGAACCAAATTGGTCATTGAAAATGTCACAAAAACAAGAATGGGTAAGATTAGAGCTGTTCAAACTTTCTTAAAGACATTTCACAGTACTTGCTGACACTAAAATTCATTTATTGGGAGCCTTTAACAACTTGAAATTGGCCAGAAACGCAATATCCAGTCTAATTTTGGGTTCGATTTTTCCACATTTAGGTTCTGAAGTATTCTGACATTTAGGTTCAACTCCTTCTAAAGTTTATGGAAGTTTAAGGAATATCGCCAGTCGAGCCAACGACCGATTATAAACGTTTCAGATATTTGTTGTTACGCCTGTTCTGATGTAAAGAGAAAAAAAATATTCCCCTCCCTCACCAACATGGAAAGTTTGTTAGTTTGTTGTTGTTATGAAAATGAATATAAATTGTTTTTTTTTCGAATTTACTAGGTTTATTACTATTATGTCTTTCAACAACTTCTTTAAGAAATATGTTGGGATATCTAGGAAGATAGAGAAGCTTCAAGTGCGGCGACTGAAAACTGGTGAACTTAATGACGACGACAAAACTACACGTATGGAGAACCGGGAATATTTCTGAAGATACATGAATTGAATAGGAATGGCTATAAGCTGTAAAAAATAAATAGTTCCAGGATACATGTCTATGGACGATTGGCAATTGATTTCATCGCTATAAGGGGTCTGTCAGCCTGAAAGGCTTTAGAGTGATTTCGGGGTTTTAGAGACCTAAGCTAATCTACTCTGCCAATCGGTGAGATTTTCTGTACGGATAAGGATTCGATCCTACCCGTGCTGCTCAATAAGAGGGGGGAAGGTAGGTGTCTTTTTAGAAAGAGACAAACAGTCGACAGCTCATATAGGGTACTTCAGGAGATGTGGTTCTTATGGCCAAATATGAAAAAGATGCATTTCGGAGAAGCTGAATAACGAATAGCAGTACTACGAATGCATTTGGCTTGGCCCTGTCGGATCATAAATATAACTAGAACATCAAAGAAAACGGTTTGAACTAAAAAAGTAGGAGGAAGGGTTTAGGCAGAAAGGAGGAAGGGGAGTAAAGCTGGCGCGGAGAAAACGGAGGCAGAGCAAGTATGAAGAATGAAATAGAATTGAAACAAGGAGAGAACACTTAGAAGAGCGTTTGCCTATTTGCTCAAAATCCATATATAGACAGATAAAACATAAAACTGATGAAAGTATTGTAGACAATATGGTTCATATGAAGAAAGAGAGAACGGAGGGATCCTCAAAAGGATCGTTTGTCATTCAGCAACTCAATGTTCAGTTGGAATTCGGTATAAGATCTGAGCAGTTCTGAAAACGCATAAGAGTATTGCGCAAGTTCTCCAGTTGCATTGCTCTGTACTGAAAAAGAAAATGAAGAATCATGAGAGAAATTTGAATGCAACCGCTTCCGCGCGTCATCGCACTCAAAATGAATTTCTTACCTGTAGCGACAGTTGCCCGATGGTAGAATTCAAGTCATAAGGCAGCTCACCAAACAACATGGGCTTTATAGCTCGTGGAGCTGGCAGTCCATTGGTCAGGTTCACAATTGGTGGAGTGTGCATAATTGAATTCATTACAGGTGGAACAGCAGTTAATGGAGTAGGAATGAGTATTCCAGCTGGTAGAGGAGCTGTACTGACGCTTGTGACGGTAGTTGTCACATTAGTGGTTGGCATTGAAAATTCCGTTTGAAGGAGAGGTGATGGAGCCGGAGAAGAGACATTCGAAGAAAGAGATGACAAAGAGAATGTCGGAGAGAGTGCTGGTGGAGATGGTGAATTACAGTTTAAGGATGGCACAGTGAGCTTCGAGGCTAATGAAGGAATAGGAAGAGTTTTACGAATTCTTCCTTTACCACGGTTCATTTTGGGCATGGAGAAAGCTACACAATCATCTTAAAAGGTAAATTTTTGCATTCGAAATCTCTCAACTCACCACTTGTTTCGGTGCCGCTTCCATAATGGTTCTTTCCTTTGGATTGCCCACGTCTAAGTTTTACTTGAGCTGCCATACAGTCACGACGAAGAACCACCATAGCACACTGAAGAAGAGCACATAGAGTTTGTGGTAAAACAACAAAAATGTTTCAGATGTAGTTGGATAGAAAAAGTGTTCGTTCATTGGCTTTTCCTTTCGTCGTTCATATCATCCTCCAATCTCTCTCTATACTCTTTGCTTCGTTTTATTTCATGCTCGTCTTACGAATTATAGCCCATTTTTATGCCAACTGGCACAGATTGTATGTAGTACCCCTCTTCCCTTCTATCTTTCTACCTCATTCAATCTCTGTCTTCTTTTCTCATTGCACTCTCTCTCTTCCTCGTCCTCTGTCCCAGAAGCTATTTGTTCGTTCGAACGGCTTTTTGTTTCGTCTTGACTGGCGATACTGGATCAACAGCCTACGATACTTCTTTTTTTGAATTCTTTATCACCATCTTTCCTTGCCTCTTCCTTCAAGAGCCTTTTAATAATAGCATCTTGACTTCAAATTACAAATTAATTACGTTTTTATGATTTAAACCAACTTATCCCGATGGTCGGTCGCATTGCTCTCAGCGATCATTCATCGACGGCTGTGTTATTTTTCCCTCCTCAATTTTTATGATTCCTACCGTATCCCCTTGAAAAGGTAGTATACCATTCACAAAACTTTAAAAAAGAATAAATGGGTAAACGACGCACTTATGGAGGTTTTGATAGGATAAAAAACTTCTGTGGAAGTTGTTTGACAGCCATCAGAAGCAACATATATGAATGGAGACCAGAAAAACTAGTGACGAGTAGCAAGAATCAAGGAAGACCAGAAAGTGTGAAGATATCGTTGAAACAACACCAGATCTCTAATGAGGCTGATGACGATTACGGTAATCGCAAATTGGTGCGATGGTAAAGATAACCGCCAATGTTATTTTATTTTCGAAGAAGGTGTGGGCCAGACATTTGATTTGAATATTAATGAGTTTTTAATGTTTCATAATTGAACTTACAGTTTTGCATTGGCAGTCTCGGAAAGGACACAAAGCTTTCTTATGCCCTTTGAGTGGATTGATGTGACCGTGACAAGAACAACGAGAGCAACATGGTATTCTACTCTTTTTTCCATTCACCACCTCAGTCTTCATTATTGCAGGATTACATTTTGAGAGAATATTGTTAAGTTGGCGTCTTCTCTCTACCATGGAACAATCCTTGCAATCACATTTAGCATATCTAAACAGCTGGTTGAAGATGACTGGAGTTCGCTGAGACATACTTGCAATGAGGTTTGTGTCCTTTTCGAGGGTGTTCAAAGCCGTGATTCAAACAACGCTGACAGAAGTATTTCCGTTCGGAGTTGTGATCTTGCTCAGAAAGACCAAGTTGATTCTCTTTTTCAGATATGACCGAAGAAGCACTGGAGAAGGTGTCATCTTGCGACATATCACCCACTACGTCAATTATTTCTAAAAAGGAAAATTATGGATTGAAGAGCTATTGATGGAGTGGTTGGAGGGCGGACAGAACATGTCGTTTGAGGTTTTTTTCTATTTTCATTGTTGAAAATTAGTTCTTGATCGAAGAAGAGTTTATTAGTCTCCTTCTCGGAGGGAAGCGAAATGAGGGAAAGGGAGTAAGGGAGGATTTGAAATCAAAGCTAATTGAGAAAATGAACCTTATATTAAGAGATTGAGAGACTATTGAACTGATAACAATCAATTCCAGACCGTGTCTATCGGAAAGTTTCTAGTGGAAATCATGAATTTGAAGGTCGGTTAACGACTGATACTGATGATGCGAATGATTTTTTTTTTCAGGAAGAAGTGTCAAACAGAGAGATTCATTTTGTATCGGAAGAGAGTTAAGGAAATGAAGAAAAACGTCTACGACTAGCTAACGTATACGGTAGGTGAACTATTAACATTCGGGAGGTCCTCGTAGAAACAATGAAAACGTTTTTAAAAACAAATGAGCCGAATCAGTTAAAGAGACAAGGACAAAGGATCAAGGAATCAGACAAATCTTTTTTCGTCTGCGATAGCATAGACGTAGAATGTTTGTTGAGAGAGAGTTATACACGAAAAATGAAAGAGAATACAAAAGAGAGTACAAAGAGGAGAGGATGCAAAGAAAAGAAGAGAAGAATGAAAAAAGACATAAAGCGTCGCAAAAAATGTCTGGCTTCATTCGTAGACGGAGATTAATAGGAGTTTGACGTGAAGAAAACGACCACCCTCGAATTTATGTAATTGAGGAAGAAGATGTGAAATTTGGAAACAAACTGAACAATAGAATTCCCATTCTCTTTCGAACTAAAAAACGATCTGTATAACCGTTCTCTTTCAGATAATTGGATTAGCATACACGGTGGCGCCGTGGAAAACGTGAGAAATACGTGAGGCTAGACAAGATGTTTATTTTGAAATCAAATTATGCGTGGTGCGGTCGTATTCACGAGAGCGGAACAGATTGCATTCAGAGAGTAAAAAACAAACGAGGTTTTCATTATGAGTACAGTATGTTTGAAAGTTAGGAAGAAAGTAACGAACGTTAGTTTCAGAAGCAATAGATCGATTCAATAAACTCTGAGGAATAGCAAGACAAAGAGGAAATCATTAGTGGTGACTGTATCAGGTGCGTTCGTTTCGGACAATTTAAGGACTCGTAGTAAACATTAACCTGGACTATAAGTTTAAAACTTACCTTCCATGCTTTGATTTGTATCCATTGCTCCAAGTAGCTCGCGCTATCCAGCTTATAAGTGTGTAGTTTGCTTGCGGGGTTAGTAGAAGGAGTACTGTAGTTAACAGAAGAAACAAGAAATAAAATCTTGAAGCTTTAGAAAAGCTATGAGATTTTATAGTTAAATGCTTGTTTCTTTCTGCGGATGAACCGTTCAAGATTTTCGAAATTGCTTATATGAATTATCTTTGTTGTTACACAACGATCTAGACAGAGAAAGAAATAGAGAGAAAGAGGGCGGGGCTTAATGGAGGGCTGCTGCTAGAAGAGACAACCGACTGCTGGCCTTGCTGGCTGTAGAATGGGCTGGTCGAGGAGAAGGGGAGGAGATAGACAGATAGTAGGAGGGTTAAAAGACGAATAGAAATATAGAAAGATAAAGTGGAAAGAGAGAATTCATAGCTAGAACTATTCCGCCCCCCGAGCCGCTCGCAACATTCGTTGCCCCTGGCCCTCTCTACATAAACCTTTTGCCCGATAAGCTCCGCCCAGAAGCCGCAACACTGTGCATCAAACGGTTTGATTAGAGGGCAATTGTAGGTTGATTCAAAGCTTAGCAACGTATGTTTCGCTTGCGTTAAGCTGTGATAAGAAGCCGTGAGATGTTTCACCATTACATATTGGGTGTGACGTTTGTAGTAGAGAAAAAAGGCTGGTAGTCGTCATCAATTTTCTGAGATTGGAGGGAAATTAGGAAATGAAAGGCACAAGCACAGAGATAGAAAAACGAGGCAAACTTAATGAACAAACTCACGTTCATGAATTTCCCGTTGATAAAACATTTTCTCAGAAGATTTCTCAGTGAATATAACCCGTTGAAGTGAATTTCTGAAAGATTTAGAATAAAAAGCTGTTAAGGCTTATCTAATCGTACTAATCAACCGATAATAATAAACGATCATAAAAGTGAGAGTAGAATGGTTAGTTTCAGAACTCAAGTAGCTTAAAGGAAAGGCAAGAAGAAAGAGAGAGGGTACTGTAAGTAATTTCTTAATTGAAAATGTTCGTTTGGCACATACGAATATTTAAGCAACTCCTTATAAGCGGATTGAGTGTTATGACGTAGACGATTGATTTTGGAACAAAAAATGGTTGAAGAATAGCCGTTGGGGAATGAAAGTCAGGAATTCGTTTACACTGACTTTCAGCTGTCCAGAAGAACATAAGAGCTGATTTTCGCTTCAAGAGAAACTTTGCTCTAAATCTTCATGTAATTTTGCAACACACAAAGCTATTCAGCTTTTTGTTAGAGAGGGCTTAGTTTCGGTCAGTAATTATGTGACTCCCTTGTTCCTCTTACTTCCTCCGTTCTGAAGGCTTCCTCTGCACTTCAGTTTGAGGTCAATGACAGAACTTTTATCTTTTTATTAAATCACTTTTTTTTTATGGAAAGTATATTTTGAAGAAGAGTAGATACATGTGTACGGTAAACTTCAGAAGTCAATCAATAGTTATCAACCAAGAGTTTTGCTTTCTCTCACGCAAAGAAGTTCGGTGATGAGAATGTTTCGAAAGGGTCGGGGAGAGAGAAACGTTCCTCAAATCCTCTTAGAATTAGCATACAGTAAGCGGTGTTCTCATTTATGGAACACCTGAATTCTCATTAGTAGTTAGACATTATATAATGAGCTCAAAAGACATAGTTATGTTAGGAAAAAGATAATCGTCATACATCTTCCATTTCTATTATTATATTTGATTGGAGGACCATATATGGAGCTAATGTTAATCTTTCTAAATTACATTACCGTAATCCGCCAAAGTAGAAGCTTTTTTTATCTCCGTTCGGGTATAATTTCATATAAAAATGAATAAAATTATAACAAACTTCTCGTGTGCAAGATTTATAATCAGTCATGAGTTTGTGAATAATTACTAATGAACACCCCTTTTTTGGAAGAAGAAGAAGATGAGGTCCGCACATGAAACTATACTAAAGTTTCAAGAAAGAGCTTTGGTTAATGAAAACTAAAACCTTTTTTCTCCTTTTTTTGCAATCTTACCACCCCTCTCTCTCTCTCTTTCTCTCTTTGTTTCTCTGTGTCCCTACTCCCTTTCTATCTCTGTGCATACAGTAGACTTCATGTAATTGGATTTTGATTTCCAATTTTTATGAATAGAATTGGTTATATTATAATCAAAATATGTTTTTTTTTATAAACATAGATGAATTTTCAAAAGTTTATAAGATCGACCTCTCTCACACTCTCCCTCTCTCTCTCTCTGGCTATGAACCATTCGATCAATGTGTTTGCATAAGACATATCAGTTGGTAGATTTGGCAATAATAAGTTAGGATTATCTCAACTTGAAAGAGAATGATGACAAGAAATACATGTGGTCGTTGTCCTCAGAAAAGATATCCAATCAAGGCTTTACTTGATGGCTTTGAAATAATTGAATACAATTGGCTTTCTCAAGAGCTAAGCAAAGAAATGCAAGGTCGCAAAAAAAGAAGCAGAAATGAGAAAAAACGCACCGCGATAGTCTCAAACTTTGAAGGAACTCACTCAATGTTTTTGAGTTCTTTGTATGTAGTCTGTATTCTCATCTTACCTCCTAATATGATCTATCTTGAAGATACGGTAAATGCCGTTTTTTATGTATACGTAAGTATATTAAAAATTATATAAGGATAGGCCTCATTAGCGTTCTCCCTCACCTCTCTCTATCTCATTTCCAAAAATGGGCTGATTGTCATGGAAGATTATGCAATTCATTTAGTATTCAAGAATCTAAAGAACGGAATTCGTCTTCATTTTTTTAAGCAGTTTTACACACGGAACAGAGAATCTTCGGTTTGTGACCGAACATTCTCTTCTTGGTGGGTCCTTGTAGGGGGGCAGTATGACTTGAATAGGCCGAAACGAACACCTGATAAGACTTTCATTTGAGAAATGAAAACATTGGGCAAATCTTATCAATGAAACTAATTCAAAACTTTTGAATTCGAAAATCATTTTGTAATTGTGAGTTTTTTTTTGTGATAACAACAAAAGACAGCCATCGCCTGATGCGTTATAACTCTCGCTGACGAGGTGAAAATGCAGAGGGCTATACAGCTCCAAGTTCAAGTAGAACTTTTGGATTTTCCAATTTGTTGCTCACGAAAAGTGACAAGAGCAATGGCTTTTAAGCTCAAGCTGTTGACTTCTCGCTTCCGGTTATGAGTATGAGGATACGCCGTTCCAAAAGAAATTCAATTTTCTTGCATTTTCTCTTCTAGTTACAAAGGTTTTCTGCGATTAAAATGTGTCGAGAGACTTACGGTAACTTCAGAATCTGCAAGATTCAGGAAAATAAGCAGACTTCCGGTGACTTCAAGAAATTCCAAGAAGTCTCGTTCTCATTCAGTCTACTGATGGGAAGTTCAAGTTATAGTTTGGACACAATCAGAAATCGACCTTTCTTCACTGTTCGAAATTAAAATGTTCCTTTTTCAAGCCTATCGAATGACACGTGCCTGACTTGGAAACACTGCTTTGGCAGTGTTTTTATATTCTTTGAGCCTCGTATGACAGATTGAAGTCTCTTAAGGGACTCTCAATGAAGCATCGCAACAACTCGATATTAATGCAACACCTGGCTTCCTTTTTTGGAGTTTTCGTAAGTGCGGCAAATGAATGAGAGAAGGAGAGCTTGAATCAAAGATTCTTCTGTTCCACTCTTATACATTCTGCGTTGCTTGCACGGAATATTTAAAAAAGCAAATTAAAGAATGATGAGCGGAACGGAACTTTGGTTGTAACTGACCCTATCGAACTTATAATCCGAATACTGTAGTTCTTATAATATGTACTTCCTTTATTGGAAGTTAGTTCTTTCAATATAATTGAGCACTGGGAAAACAGAAAGGTTCTGCTTCACCGACAAAACGACTTGTCAACTGTTCACTAAAACAGCCTTCTTATGAAATTATTGATAGTGCAGCTTGTCTTCTTATCAATCTTTCAACACAATAAGGGAATGTCATCCGAGATGGATATGAGAACGAAAACCACACCTCATGTTGGCGGCAACGACCCATTGAGTTAACTTAATTATTCTTAACGGGAAGAAAGAAAACTCTCATTTTTTATCGGAAAACGAAAAGTATCAAATTATGCGGGTTATGACGTCAATCGACCAATAGAGATCTCTCGAAAGTTATTTTTAAGAAGAAACAAATGGATCATTCATTTGCTAATAAGCATATATTCGAATTCCTTCCTTCTTTATCTTTATCCTGTCCCCTACTGTATATCAATAATTGGTTGATTCATTAGCTTTTCACCTTTCCATATCGTGTTCGACACATATCTTCCTTCATTGGGAGCGTGAACATGGAGGTATCGAACAACAATGGAGGTTTTCTGCTTTACCTCGGAGAACTATTTCTCAATATCACCCAATTAAGATTTTCTCAATATTTCATGATCTTCTATGACGTGAACACCATTCCTTCATGAAATCATCAGTAGTTGTCTCATCTTCTCGTTGACGTCGTTCCTCTCGTACAATCGAAAAGCTTTTTTTTTTGAGATTGGACGAAAATTCAAACGAATGAATGTGCATGAGAAGACAGATTGCAGAGAGAGGAAGAGAGATAGGGAAAGTGCTGGAGGGAGTAGATAGGAAAGAGTTGAGGGAGTTAAGAGTACAGAGAGAGAGAAAGAGAAATGGAACGCACAAGCCCTAGACCAAAAAATGGGTGGGATCAACCAATGAACGTCCAACATAAAAAAAGCTATCGGGTGGTCCGGCAACACCTAGTAGTTGAAGATTGGGGGGAAATATTTTTGAGACGAGGGGTTTGCAAAAGCGAAAAAAAAGCGAATAAGGAAATGCTATTGAACGTCTTATGAGAAAAGCTCAAGTAAGCTTAGTCGTAGCTATCAAGCCAATATATGTTCTGACGTCAAGTGATAGTGTTGGAGAGGATGAAAAGACGTGGGGGGTTAGTTGAGAGATGAAATAAGGATTAAGCAACCGTTCGCAACAACTGCATGATTATGAATGAAACGAATGAACGCAACTGGTGGCCTAGCTTATTGACGTGGCAATATGCAAATTAATGTCCACGTATTTAATTATTAAGATTACAGTAAGAAAATGTTCTTTGCTCCAAATCCTGTGTGAGAGTTGATAACCTAATTAAATGAGATTCTTGAACGAATCGTTGAAAGAAAAAAAAAAGAAGGAAAAGAAGATAATCTATTCCCGATTCTTCATTCTATTCTGAATAACGTTCGAAGCAGAAAAAAGCGAAGTAAGGTTGAATCGGTATGAGCGTAGAGAAGCGTTTGTCATTGGAATTGCTATGCATTATAGCCCTCATATTTAACTTTCTATTACATGATGAGTATTTCAAACTTTCATAATTGAGATGAAAGATGTTGCCGAACAACATTTTCTTTTCGTTTTTTCCCAGTTTTCAGTAAAGTTTCCTTTCTCTCTCACTATTTGTGTCCTCGTCGACTTTACAGATCAATCACTACAATGCACTCGCTTTGAAATAAAAAAGAGAAATAATGTTAAAATAGTGGAGGCCAATTGAGAGAAAGAAAGAGGAGGAGAACGATAGACAATGTGCTTTAAATGTTGCGAAAAAAAAAGTACAGTATGCCCGTCGTGATGAGGGACCCAACATGCTCTCATGTTTCGAACGCCAAGTAGATTATGTTTCCAACAAATGGGAGAATAAGAAATGGGTGAAAATGATTGGAGTATCAACTCTTTTTTTTTCTTTGCTCAAATTCCCTAGACAGTTTCTTTGTTGTACACTTTGTTCTTTGTCAAAACTCTTTTATGATAAAGCGGCAGGTCGTATAGAAATGCCTTTATCTTTAGATGACAGATTAAAATGACCATATACGTACTTTTATAAGCTTTCTTTCAAAGCTTAAATGCTTGGGAGAGGGAGGCTTATGCAACTTCTGGAAGTTCTAAGGTTTTATTGGACCATTAAAAAGCTGTTCAAAGAGCTCATTTACTTCTGAAGAATGTAAAATTCTAAGTCATTCTGACGACAACTGGTCAAGAAGAAGCTTGCAAAAAGAGTTGGGGGGTGAAAGGGACAAAGAGTTGCCAAGATTGCATCATACCTATGAACTTCCTTTGTCTTTTTAACTTCAATCCCTCTTATGTTTTGATATCCAAGAAGCATACATCTTTCGCATTTACTTCCTCTTTTCTCCCCTCTCACATTCTCTCTGTCTCTCGTGAATGTCATTGTTTCATAATTTGCTCAACGTAAACCAAGTCTGACCTTGTGCCATTGACTGATGAATAACAGGAGGGCTGATTATCTAATCCCTCAGAAGATCACATGATAACCATCTCAGGGCAAAAGGTTGATTACTGCCCTTTGGAAGATCCTCTCATAATAAAAAAAGGCATTCATGCCAATCCACATGATGATGAGAGCTGTTACTATATTTTTCTCCGTGTTTGGACTTCTTCCATCAACCGCTCTTTCGGATATTATCGGTGTGTTTTTTTGAAAACTTAAATTTGTTTGCATTTTGACATAAGCTGAACAAGCTTTTAATCTATCTCTCAACAACATTATAAACCATGGAAATGGTGGGATTCTAAACTAAACACTCAACTATTTGCTCTCTATCGTTATCTCTTTCGCCATTGGCTGAAGCAACTTGTCCTTACTTCTTCATCAAGAGCACCTCTGTCTCTTTCTGCTCTGCACTCTTCTCTAGCTCTCTACCTTTCTTTCTCTCTCTTCCGAGCTCGAAGCTCCTATCACTTTTTTAGTGATGGTTTGCTTCTCAGCCTTCTTGAATAATCACGACTCCGAAACCTCTAGACTACAAACACTATTTTCATGGGGGTTTCGTTTCTTTTCGAAAATAATTCCAGCAGCTGCTGTCGGCAATTCAATTATCCATTGCTAGATAGAAAGCCGCAGCAAGGGCACTGGTAGATATGTACCTGGACAGAAGGGAGAAAAGAAAGAGAGAGAGAGAGAAAAGAGAAAGGAAGATTGAAACCTTTCCAATCGCTATAAGCACTTGGAATTCAGATGTCAATAAGCACGTCGTTAAATCGCGAAAAAAGTTGCGGAAATGTGGCAATTCAGTTTTATTGAGATAACTTTCATAAGACTTGAAACTTCCTATTAAACCAACAAGCATACTGTAGCAAAAAGGTTCCTGAATAATCCTAATCATTTAAGGTATTCCGACAATCGATTGCCAGACAGACGGTATCGAAGCCCGTATAAATCTCTCGAGACCTTTCCTAGGACGTATCTACTTGCGAGGTCATTATGCCGATGATGGCTGCTTTCACGACTTCACCAATTCATCCACAACTTGGGCTAAACCCATCTTCAGTTATGAGGCTTGTCACATGCGACGTAAACGTCAGGTGGGTATCGTTTTAACACCAAAAAAAAAAAAGCCTGCAAACATGACTTGCCAGTCGTTAAAGCCAGCCGGTACTACCAGGGACCAAAAAGAAAATCCTTGAAACTATCACATGAAATTATCAAATAATTCCCTGCTAATTGCCATTGCTAATCAAGCCGAAATCGTATAGAATGCTTTATCAGCGTTCCTCCGGCCTATCACAAAAGAAACAATTGTAATTTAATGTTACATTTGCTTCATTAATGTGTGAGACGCAGACAATGGGACACAACGCAGCCAATAGTGACGCGCGCTCATCGATTAGACTACCGTAATCTGGCTCCGCCCCCTCCTACAGAAAAACGGAGGCTTTTTTTTCAAGAGCTTCAGAAAAGGAAATGACTTGAATTGTGTATAATACGAATCAGTAAGATAAGAAGACCTCAAAACATTTGACCAAATTGAAATTGATTGTCTGCGAGAAAAGTTATGTGCCTTGATAATTTGGGTGAGCGTTAGATGTGAATTTTGGGACAACCGAGTAAAAACAATTGAATGTAAAGAAAAAAAGAGAGTGAAGAGTCATATTAAGTAATAAAAGAGGTAGTATCAAAGGGGAATGTTATAAAACTAAAAAAAATGAAATTGCGAGTGAATATATGGTCGACAAACGTAGGTATGACTATTATAAACGTCTGTCTATGTGTGTCTATGGGGGAAGCGTTGTACGCAACGCGACCACCCAATCAGACTCAATGGCTGTCCCTGTCTCACATATGTGTGTCCTAATTGATGACTCTCTAGAAAAATTTGCGAATATTATTCTCAAAACTTCTACCATACCCTTTCTGTGCTTTTCATATGGTAACTTTCGGTGTGAGGAGGAACTCTAATGCCATTTGTTTCTTCTGTGATCGGAAACTTCCCATTGGGACTTGATGTTTCATTTTATTGCTTCCTGAAGTCAGCTTCAAATCACTTTTGGCTACTGCAAGTAGGATGAACGGGGCCCTGTGGATTGCAAATGCCGGCAACTTGCAGGGACTTCGCTGCAGTTTTTTATGTGGGTTTGACTGAAGGAAAGAAAAAAAGAGTAGAGAAGGCTCTCACTTTGGCTTCTTCGCCTGCTTTTTTTTTTTGGATGAACACGAAGACTGGAGGGAACGTTTAATGGGAGAGACACGGAAAAGAAATAAGATAGAGCGATATGCGAGGTCGTTGTCGCGTGACTGAACAAAAACTCATCGCAAAAGAATTTGAAAAAGAGGGATCGGCATAGTTTTCAGTTGAACTCTTGAATTGTTTCATATTCTTTTCACAGAATGTTTCCTTTGCTAGCAAGATACGGTAATTTCATTTCCATAAACTTTCGAACCACACAACTCAGAAAAAGTTAGCAGAACGTGTGAATTTGATAATTACGAGACGGTGGTTATGGTGGAAATATAGTTGAATTCCATTTCCATCACTCCACAAGTCCGAAACCTGTTTTTGATAAACTTTATAAATAAAGTTTGGGATCTACGAGAAAATCCTGTTCTCCTCGCATGCACATTTTATGATTTTTTCTTCCATCTGATAGATTGTCCAAATTTTACTAACAAATTGCAGCTTTCATATGAAAGCTGACGAAATGAGAAATGGTTGAGACAAACTGAAAAAAAAACGGAAATCTGTTAAAATATTCCATTTTTCAAGCGATCCCAATGGATTATGTGGTTTGTATGTGAGTGTATGGTTCACGAATGCTTTTACAAATCAAAGATTCGACAGAACGATCCAGATGATCCGTTTATCATTTTTTCACTCTGTCGCACTAGCATGCCTCTCGTAGAAATGCATACTTCATTTGAAATTCAATTTGTTGTGGAAAAAAGCGGAGCATCCTTCTCTCTGCTCCTTGCAACAGAGAATCAAGTTAATCTATCGAAGCGAAAAATATATTCTTCTTGCAAAACTAATTCTCATCAAATTGAGAACGCTTTTACACAGCTTTATCTTCATTTCGTCAATCGACTCTCCTATATGTCACACCAATCGCATCTTTTGCTTTTGTCTGCCGGCGAAGGTTACTGTAGCTGCGCTATTGATTCTAGGGTTACGGTAGTCAAACTCTAATCATTTTTTTAAGCTTTCGGATGAAGTTTGAAAAAATTCAATTAGATATTTGAAAATAGCTCATAGAACTACGTCTGACATTTTTGGAAAAATCTAATTTGAATTTTATTGAAAGAACAAAATCAAAATATAAAATGACATTGTTTGACTATATTAAACCGAGGGATAGGGGCTGTTAGGTCACTTGAACAACGTGCTCTGTTTACATATCGCTTATTTCTTTTGAAAATTAAGTAAACGATTGATCTTCTGTCTCGGACAACGACTTGTCTCATTTTGATTTTTTGGGACGAGTATGTATGGATGTAAGGCTATCTCTGAGTGAATGTAATGTAATACTTCTAAAGATTGGAATAATTGAATGGGACAACAGACAGCTTGCATCCATCCTATCCATATGTGTGAAAAGCAAAATTTAAATATTCCAGGCAAATCCTCATGGACTAACAATGTCTGCTGTCATGATTATATCCCATCATCCGAAATTGGTAACATACCGGGATAAAGCCTATAATATAGAATGTTTTTATGAACAATCAGATCCAAGTCCAGTTATAACAGATTTGAATGTGAGGTATGTAAGAAGATAGATGAATATAATAATAATAATAATAATATATATATTTCAGTTCTAACGATAATAATATTATAAAAATGAGAGCTGAAACGACACTGCCTGTCTGTAATTATCATGTTGAAATGAAATCAGTGAAAGTGGATGAAGCAGCAAAAGACAAGTTATCAGTTATAACTGTTGGCGATGAAGTTGTCCATATTTGGACATGTTCCGATGATCAACCAAACAATTTATATTGTATGCAGGTAAACACAATACATATTGTTTATTTGAAATGAATGCTATCAATAGGTTCATAGCTGTAGAGCAGAAGATGACACTAACGATAGTGTGCCTGTAGTAGATGCCAGAGGGTATGATACATCTAAACATTGCATTCATAATTATATGTTCATTCAGATGTATCATGGATACTGAACTACTATCATCTATACAATACACATCTGCATTACGTGCATCAGCTTCTTCAAGAGTTTTTAAGTTTGCTGATAAAAATGACATCAGGTTTCAATGCCAGATTCGTCTAACAGTTCGTAAACATCATCTCAATGAAACGTGTCCGGTAAGCCTCATCTTAGATACACTGTTACGGGTATTTTCTATCCTTTAGATACCGGACTGTTCGAAAAAGGATAACTATAAGAAAGTATGGAAGAGATCTTTGAAAGAAGTGAACATGGATGTTGCGACAGATGGAATGACTGTAATCGACAAACCATTAGCGGATCATTGTAATCATTCACCTTTCGAAACATATTCACTTGAATTGATTTACAGATCATTCAGTATCAGATTGTACGTTCATCATCTGGCCGTTCGCTGCGACGTTCATAGTGTTCTTCACGTACTTCCTTTTTACCATTTACCACTGCTGTAACACCCGACGTATCTCACAAGAGCTAATGACCATACAATCTCAATTTTAGTTATTACGAACAGTTTTACGTTCGTATAATTTCGAAATAAATTATGCAACTTCTCAAGTTTACAATTACATGTAAAGATTATGCAACTATTCGAATCCCTTCAAAAACATCCTGCGCTACTGAGCCAGATAGAATGCAACCGTTCTGGACGGGTTTGAGTTGGAATGCAACCGTTCTGGACGGTTAGGAATAGAATGCAACCTTTCGGTGCGTTTCAGATAGAG